CACGACGGTGGGCGTTACCTCGGCCAGTCCTGTTTGGTACCCAATTARCCGCTAAATTACGATATCCCGAGTCTGCTACTGAATTTAACACGACACAATGTACCGGGAGCGCTTAAAAATCGAATGGTTTTTTTCTCCTCTTCGTTTTCTTCTACCTCCTGCTCGTTCCACTTCCACCGCTACCACCACCTTCTCGTCATTGTCGTCGCCGCCGCCGTCTTGCAGTAGTATTCTCGCTCCTACCTAATTCGTTTGGAATCGGTTGTAAATTACACCCTTTGAAGTATCCGCCGGTGTGCGGCAGTATGTATAGTCGCTACTATAATRTACGCTTCGTATATTATATTGTACTATTGTAACTATACCTATATAGTATATACCTACAGTGTAATTCGACGACGAATTCGGGTTTCCACGTGCAGGGCTGCCGCCATCGTCAAATTCACGCAACACCCGTGATTAGATTAACTTGAGAGTTAAAAATTATGCGTTTTTGTTACATTTTAATTTTCCAGAATTGGAAACGAACAGTATTATTTTTTGTTTAACGGTTTTGCGGTACTTATACATGTATATTTTTATAACACATTAACACGATAATATGTATACGCTTGACAATCGCACACACCACACATGTACTGTACGATAAATTACGACAGTGTTTACGGTATAATCCTTYGCCGCTCGTGGATTATGGGAAAAAATCCATGCCACTTCTAGGAATTCTAGTGGTCAATATGAAATAACAACCCCAATAAAAAAAAAAATACCAAAAGGTTCGAAACGGGTTAACATTAAAAGTTAATAGAACTAAACGTTATAATGGAATTTCAAAGAGAAAAAAATTTAGTGTTAGGTTTCAAAGAAAACAATATCTTATATATAATATTATGTGGGTACTCATCGCGTGTCTATTATTATATTATTATGTGATGTGGAATATAAACAACGTATTATTACGGTTCACGTTCGAACAATTTTTCAAAGAATGTTTTTACTAAAAATATAAAATATATAAAACACTGCTATAATTTTCATGTTGAAAATCATCTTAAAAATTATAATTACTATCATGCTGTTGCACACGCCGCCGATGATGTAGTTATAATAACAAGTTACCTATTATATTTCGGCTTTATACGTTAAGGATGACTATACAACAACAACAACAATGTACGCGTATAGTTATAATTAATAATATATTAAATTATACACTTGCGTTGACATGTATTATAATTTAATTAATACCTACACAACTATATAACTATATTCACTATTTTCTAATGGCATAGTTGAAGGGGATATTCGAGATCGTTATTTTGATTTTTAGTGTGTGAGGATGGTGACAGAATAATCATGATGTGATAATTTGTAATTTTCTTTCTATAGATATATATATATTAGATTATACATGATCAGGATACGTATCTATATTATGATAAATATTAGCAAGCACCAGTCACTGTCAATTGTGGGCTGTATTTATATTCTATAACGTGAGAGCACCATCGGAGTGGTTCAAATAATATTGTCAAAGTTCAAAACGTCACTACAACTGCGTTAAAAGTGCAATACATATTATATAATAACGCGTGTGCCTGTTCATAAGTAGAACGACATTAGGTGGGAAAAAATAACAACAAATGACCGTTTTTGTTTCTGTATTTTTCTTTTTTTTGTCTTTTAATCGAGCGAGCGCACGCGTGCGTGGTTGAAATCACGACGGTGGTAGATACGTATATATTATTATTATACGACGTTAATGAACACCGACAGAGATCTATTCGGTGACATTGCGCGCGCGTTTGTTATATTATTATGTTGTGCGAGCAGGTTTTTCACTCGTACCGCCGCCACTGCCGCCGGCGGACAAATTACGCGCGTGCACTCACGCGACCGTCAGTAACGGGAATTAAGGACGAAAAATTCCTAAGCRAATGGGGAAAAAAACACGAAAACAAGACGAGTGCACGTATGCAAGCGCGAGCAGTTTTGTTTTCGAATTGAAGGAATAGGCTGCCCCAAGTACGCACTACAGAGTGGTACTCGTGTCTACGAAAAAAAATGTGCACTATATAACACCCACCCAACCCTTGTAGGTGTTTCTATGGGATTCTCTGGAGTAGCCCGTGTCGACGATACTTGCATACGGCCAAAGAATTCGTCAAACCGATCGATTCACAAATTCTGTTAACATGCTACATGCCTACAAAACGTTTTACTCCCGGTAAATCAATCAAATCATAACTAGGCAATATGCAACTCTCGCAGCAACTTTTTCCAAATGTACCCTTATTTCTTCCGTCAAGATTATATCGATTATAGTAGTACATAATATATGAATATAAAATAATAATATAATACGGCATAMAGGATACAGCCATTGCTTTCGCTTACCTTGTGGCAGATTTAAACTCGATTTTGGGTTGCAACTTTCAAGGGTGAAGACCGCCTATATACGTTCGAAGGTTAGTTGGTAGTTATTTAGTTAATTTAAAATGAACGATTTACATGTAGGTTGGTAACAAAGTTCAAATAAGTATAATAYACAATTCTTATCAGTATATTATTATGTAGGTACCGTTTTACTTATTGCAATCGACTTCGACGTTATTATTAATTGATAAAATAGAAAACCAATTTGAAAACTTATACATTAAAATAACTACTATWCACAAAACTGGCATGCCATCGGTATTCGGAAGCAATGTGTTCGTCAAATCGAGCACCCCTTTGCGCCTTTTTACACCAGTCCTCGCGGGATCCGCGGTGGGTAAGTGACCCATTTCGGCACATTCATAAATTATTATACATGATGGGGCATGCATCTAACCGCAGTAATGTTATATTACATTATAATCTCGTGCGGCTTATTCAAAAATCACTGGGGCGCCATTGCAAAGAATTATGTCACGCGCGTATCAATCGCAGTACATGCAGAAATCGCATCAAGAACAAGCGACGACGAAGATTCGTTTAGGCGAGTGYAATTAACGGCGACAGCACGTCGCGGACCCGCGGAGGTCGCGGCAATTTTCTCTGATGTTTTGCCGCCCGCGCGGGCTCACAACACCGCTGCCACTCCGACACAATATGTATATAATAATAATATTATTATTATACTCACGCCGTCGCCAACACCGCAAACACATTCGTGTAATATAGCACGCGCATACGACATGATAATATTGTAATAAATCACATTTTAAGTAGGATTTATCGTTTACTTGTTGCAATGCGTGCAGCTGCAGAGGATTGTTGAAAAAATGCTCATCTCGTATACAATTCCAAATACTTTATGTTCTTGTATTTATTAATCTGCCAGATTTGTATTTTAACCGAATTCCTATTATAATTTATTATATATTATTCGTTCCGTTCGCGATTCAGAATACTATGTATCAACTATAACGAGTGATCGAATACTGAATTTATTTACAACCGCACTTCAAACTTTAAAGCGATGGTCCTTCGCGATATACCACGACCGCGGTATGCAGCGACGACACAGCACGGGCAAGACGTATACCGTGGTGATGGTATTTGTGTATAGTAGGTATGACCGGCGCCTGCCGCAGTGCCGCGCAATGACCGCGGTACAATGGTAAATACGTAGCATCGCGAAAAGAAAGACAAAAAATAAATCGAATTTTTCCGATACGCGACCGTTTGTCCATTRACTGTTTTTTCCATCATTTATACAATTATACATATATACCGGTACCCATATTCCTTGCATTCCGCACGAATCGTTTACCCCTCTGGCCGTGGTCATCGCGCGTATATGCTGCTCGTGTCKGCTGAACCGCTCATAGGTAGTCGTTGTTCAAGTATGAAAAAAACAATTTGCGATAAACAAATCACGCGAATACGTATTATCGGACACTACATAGTTACTATTGATCGCAGTATGCATAATAATAACGACGCAAATAATGATTATTTAAACAGTGTGTAAATATTATGTGATAATATTATTACATGGGTAGGTAGATTGGTTAAACGTTTTGGAACAAATGCACTATACCACGCACCTCAAGAATTTCGATTTAAAAAAAAGAAAGACGTTGATTTCGAAACTGTTTGAATTTTTGCGTGGAGACAATTATTTTGGAAGTTATGGCCCCTCAAAGTTTGCGATCTTATGTTTATACTTATGCGCGCAACACTATTCTGTCATACTGTACACTACTGCCGCGCGTAAAACAGTTTTAGATTTTTTTTTTTCCCCGATGAAATATATGAAATGATAATCTATATTGTAATCACACCTGTTAAAATAACATAAGTATATTATAGTATATTTTTAGATCCTACCATTAAAGTTAAATAAGTGTATATCCTACGGACCTCGAGTTGGAGTGGGGCTCGGCCCCCTACCCCCCCCCCCCCGGGGATAAATAGCAAACCTGGGGGAGGGGGAGCGACCCCTTTGGGGTCGTGGGGGGGGAGAGCATACCTGCTCTGCGGGTAGACGGATGACCTAACAAGTAAACTTAACCCTGTTAGTTATAGTAACACAATTATAATATAGCTTCCGCCGTCTATCGGCTCCGGTCACCAACTCATAGGACCACCTTCAGCCTACCTGCACCGGTCGCCAAACTCAAGTTGCTCTGCGCGGCAGTAAAGCAGTATGTCGCGCATGAGTATAAACGTAAAATCGCAAACTTTGAGGGGCTATAACTTCCAAAATAATTGTCTCCGCGCAAAAATTCAAACAGTTTCGAAATCAGCAATGAAAACACGTCTTTAAAAAAAAAAAATCAAAATTCGTGAGGTGCGTGTTAAAGTGCATTTTAGCCAGCGTTTTTAACGCGTCAACCTCGAAGGATACGATACCATATTAGTTATGATATTTTATTATTTTTACGTTTTTTACTTCCATATATATAAATCACGACGTTGTCTCATTATAGAATAGAATCTTTGCAACGTGCGAATGTGCAATATTGCAATACACTTGTTCTAAACGTTTGTACATGTTTTTTTGTTTTCAGATATTACTCTTATTTGTATCAGGTGTGTTCCTAACCTGTGAACCAACTGGCGCCCAAGATGACTCGTCGTTGACGTACCGAGTGTCTGCCCAACGTATTTTACAGGTACGAATTTCTGAGCCAGAGCTATATAATATGTATATTATAACATTTACAAACCAACATATTAATGCAACATTTTGTCTGACTGGTGTGTTTTGTATGTGCATATAGGATACCAGTAATTACGTGGAAACTCGTAGTTCAGAGCAAAAGTTTTTGAAAAAGTACATGCTATCACCTGACGTGACATGCAACGACGGATCTCCAGCAGGGTAAATACTAATAAGCCACTATAAATGTAATAATTACCTACGAATAAATTCATAGGCGTAATCTAGGTAAATTATTGGGGAAGGTGGTTACTCAGTGCAAGTTAAACAAAAATCTATATGGTAAAAATTTTCTATTGCTCCGCCCCCAGTTAAATATTTGTGTGGATAGTTCCTACCTTACCATCCCTGATTACGCACCTGTTAATGATGATAATAACAGGCTTAAAAAAGTAATAACAGGTATATGTAATAAATTTAACATATAGGTACTTAGCTATGTTACATCAACTATTATTGATAGGTATGGCAGTATACAACCAACCCCCTATAGGAGTAATAACTAATAATTTGTAAATAATTAATATGGTAAATTACTATTTAGGGGCCTGAAGTGTTGATTGATATTTGATACGTTTGCATATTTGTATTTAATGATCCACAAAACACTTAGGTAGGTAGTAGGTACGCAATGAATATTTCTGTAATTTGAATATAGTTGGTTTATTAGCCATATAACATTATTATTGATAAGTTGAATATTTCAATACAAGTAATAAAATATACTATACGTATTTTATATTTAATATATTTTTTCTACATAATACAATAATAATATATGGGCTATTATAAATTTGTATATATATATTTTTTCTTATTAGTCTTGAAATTATTAATAATTTTTGCTTCGACATCAAAGGCCATTAGCATTACATTTAATTACATCACAACATGTTTATTTAATTTAATAYCACGGTCCACGATACCCATTATAAAGAGGTTGTCTTACATTCTAACCTTATAGTATATTAGTATTGATTTTATATAATTTATCCTTTTTATTGAATATGCTAGAATTGTATTTTGCTTTTTACGAGTATGTAGGTACCTTTATATTCTTTATACTAATAAAATGTCAGGATTTTCTACAAGTCACCAATAAGGAAATCAGTCAACAAGTTAGGAAATTTAAAGTCGTTTACTTTTGTGCATGTGCTCAATTTTTTTTTTTCATCAATTTATTAGATTCATCTGATTCAAGTTAATATTATTATGTAGGTACCTATACAATGAATTTAACTACTAATCAAAGTTAAATATGTGTTAAATATGATAACAAAAAAAAATTTAATATTCTTCTAAACGATCAGTAACACGTACCAATCAAAATATAATATGTCCTTGTTCATATAACCATGGGATATTAAAATCCTTGTTTTCCTTCATTTTTTTAACGTCAAATATGAATTGACGATCATCATAATACCTCCATTTTATATTTTTAAATCAATATATTAATTTGTTCTATGATTAATATATAACCTTTATAATTTCTATGCTTGAATGTTAGTAAATAATAATATAGATTATATATATTTTATGTTTTAATGAATTTTCAATTTACTAATATTAAAGATTATTTTTATACGTCTCTACAGTAAGAACTGTATGCCAAACATCGTTTGGAAAATTGCTTACTTGTTCGAAATTCAGAATAGAAATAAATATCTATGTATTAATTTTTATATTAATAATAATAATTAATATTTTTATAGAATAAATTTTAAGTTAATATTTTGTGTTTCTATAGATTTTACGTGCGCCATTCAAACTATAGTAAAACATGGATAGTGTTTCTCGAAGGTAATAATTAGACGAAAATTAAAATAGTTCAAAGAAATTTAAATCAAAATAATTACGTTATATTGTGTATTTATATGAATATTTTTCCGTTGTTTTAGAGGGCTGGTGTTGTTATGATAAACCAAGCTGTGACGAACGTTGGTCAAGAGCCGAATACCTTATGTCATCAAAAGAATGGCCCGAAACTCGAACAGGTAAATTATACCTACGTGATTATAAAAAATTTCATTAAAACTTTACTAAAAAAAAAAATTATTTACTTGCTTTCCAGGCGGAGGAATATTATCCAATAATGCGGCTGAAAATCCTTACTGGTGGCAGGCAAATCACGTGTGAGTATTTAATTATTTGGCTGATCATAGAGGAATTTGTATAATAATTATGAGTATAAGAGTATATATGTAAAAATGAAACTCTTAATTAAATGTGCTGGCATAGGCGCCCGCAGAGTTGTTTCTAAGGAGTACTAAATGTTAGGATTGAGGGAAAATTAAAAAATGTCTCCGAATTTCTTCAACTTCAAAATTTTTTCGCAAAGTCAGATGGCTAAATTCCCCAGTATTATTTTACCCTCCTTTTCCGACAAAAATATTATATGGTTGAACCGGGGTTGGTAAATTGAGTCCCAAAYGAACCTAACTCGGTAAATTGAGTCCCGGGGAAAAATAGGTAATAGGTAAGTTGAGTCCCGGAAAAAATAAGGCAGTAGGTAATTTGAGTCCCAGGGAAAAACGATTTATATGCATTTAAAATTTAAAAATGTGCACTATAAAATTTTTATTTGTGATTTGTGAACATTTATTGACTGCATGTATATGATTTTGAAAATAGCAACATGCATTTTTATTGCATAAAAAATAATTATATAATTAATAAAAATGCAATTAAAATGCATGTTGCTATATTCAAAATCATATACATGCAGTCAATAAATGTCCACAAATCACAAATAAAAATTTTATAGTGCACATTTTTAAATTTTAAATGCATATAAATCGTTTTTCCCTGGGACTCAAATTACCTATTGCCTTATTTTTTCCGGGACTCAACTTACCTACTACCTATTTTTCCCCGGGACTCAATTAACCGCTTTCAAAATGTACCAAACTTATCTCGGACTCAATTTACCTAGCCCCCATTTGTAAAATATGTGATGTATCGTGTATCTACATCTGGAACTATTTTAAGCATGGACCGATTTCGTTTACTCCATCTTTCTTCCCTTAAATCGTCTTATAGATTTTTAAACTATTTTTTTAAACATTTTTGTCAATTAAACAGATGGTGAGCCATTCTTCTTTACCTACTATTGAAGTTCAACCGGGGCTAGGTAAATTGAGTCCGAGATAAGTTTGGTACATTTTGAAATGTTTAAAAAAAATAGTTTAAAAATCTATAAGACGATTTAAGGGAAGAAAGATGGAGTAAAYGAAATCGGTCCAGGCTTAAAATAGTTCCAGATGTAGATACACGATATATCACATATTTTACAAATGGGGTGGGACTGATGGAAGGAGATAATAAAAGTGATCTTATATTATACAATATAACAAATTGTTTAGTCATTTTCTATATTAATACGAAAGTAATTTGAAATATATTTTAATAGTAAAATAACTTTGCTATGTAATTTATTTTTATATTTCAGTTTCGTACCATATTGTACTAGCGATATATGGACTGGTCGGAGAGCAGAACCACAACACGGATCGAAATTCACTTTTATGGGCTCCATAGTGATTAAGCAAGTCATCAGAGAGCTATTAACTATAGGTTTGGCCAATGCCAACGCTCTCATACTCTCTGGAAGCAGGTATTATATTATATTATCTATATATTACCTATAAATCAGCACAACTTTAACAACACGTTAATTTAAAGTTGTATTTCACAAGGAAAACATATAATTTTAATAATTTTATCTGTAAATTATTTTCTAATAAATATTTTTTTATTATACCCAGATTTATTTAAGTATAATTTTTTATAGCATTATATAATTATTGTGAATAATAATGTTGCAGTAATTACAGGCACTTTATATATAAAATTGACAGAATGTTATAATTTCGAGATTAGATAAATTTCGTTTGGACTCGAAAAAACATTATTATATACCTACAGACCTGCATTCGCATGTTTATGGGAAGTAGTCATGTATGATGATTGATCTCCCCACACCTTTATTGTAATTTATTACAATATATATTTCAATGATTGTAAATATATAATAAAACTATATTTTTATTATTACAATTAGGTAAAATTCCATCCCCTCTTTTAAACATCTTTACAATATATGCTACTGACTTAAGGTATACATATTTCATATAGATATAATATGAGGTAGGTACAATATTAAGTGTTGTTTATCAAAGCTGTGGTCAGTGACAACTATACTATACTTTGTAATTAGACTTCTAAAGTATTGCGAAACTACGTAGTATGATGAAATGATGACATAATAGAAAATAGCGATACCTAATAAATATTAATACATTTTAAGTTTTAACAAAAAAAAAAGTGTACCTACACTTATAATCGAAATTTATAAATAACAAATAATTATTATTTTTGTTTTTTTTATTTTAGTGCTGGTGGTGTTGGAGTTATGTTGAATCTGGATCCCATTCAAAAGATGTTGAGACAATACAGTGGCATGTCGGTCCATGGTATCACGGACTCCGGTTGGTTCATGGACCAACAACCGTACGATATCGAGGACGAAGGAGGTTCGTCGGCGTCACCGGTCGAAGCCGTGAAACTAGGCATCCCTTACTGGCACAGTCAGATACCATCCAGATGTCGGAACCTCTACATCAACGAGCCTTCCAAGTGTTTTATCGGTTACAAGATTTATCCAACATTATCGGGTGAGTACCTACTTTATAATAATTATTAAACTTACATATTACTACGCATAAACTGCAATACAATTCTATAAACAAGAAAAACATCTCGTCTGATGCGCTGTATCTTTATGTGCAGAGATGTCAACGCGAAGTTATACACGATTATATAATATGCACTTTATTGTACCTATAGTGCGCAGATCCCATTAGCAAACCTAAAACTCGTCAAAAAATATCAACTTAAAAAAAAAAAAMTATTTCAATGAACCTTAAATAAAACCATAATTATTGGTCCAATAATGACATATTATAGAGGTCAATATACTTGCGTTATCAGTACTGTAGCTTAAAATTGTAATACCAACATTTTTGGGTCACTACCACTTTTTCTTTCAATCCGAGCATTATCGTTCAGATTGAAGGTTCAATGGTGCCCCATATTCGTGGTATAAAATGCAGCATGCTGGTTGATAATCATTATAAATTAATTATATATAAAAATTAACAAAAAAATCATCCGACACGTTGTTGCAGTCCCGTTGTTCGTGTTTCAATGGCTGTACGACGAATTCCAGCTGAAAAACGACGTCGGCACTCCGGTCACCAAACAGCAATGGGACTACATCCATAAGATGGGCGAAAGACTGCGAAAATCATTACTAAACGTCACGTAAGATCTCTACCTATGCATACATATCTATACCATATATTATAAATACATAACATATAGTGCATTTAATCTATGCTCTAACCTACTGCCTGTACCAGTGTATATATAACAAGCTGCAATGCCCCGTATATTAGACGTCAAGTCGGGCCAAAACTTCACAAGACTTCCGATTGCATAGGCGTTATCTGGGGGTGGGATAATAGTGTCTTTTTCCTTATAAATTTTCAGTTTTATCACAGACGGTTTATCCAGGGGGGAAGAGGCACCCACAAATAATTTTCGCCATTATATTATACCTGTTTCCGAGTGGTTTTGTGACTTGTGGACCTTCAGGTCACAATTGTGTCTGATGTCAAATATACATAATATTTATTATACGTTACCTACGTATTATTTAAGTACTAATTAGTAATTACTGTTGTGCTCGTTTACGCAGATCGGTGTTCGCTCCGTCTTGTGTTTCCCATACAGTACTCACKAAGAAAGACTGGAAGAACATCAAGATCGACTCGGTGTCCCTCCCGACGGCATTGCACTGTTGGCAGACCGAGACGAGGTTTGCGAAGATTAATGGCAACGGAAACAACAATAATTATAACAATAACAACAGCAACAAGTCTAGACCTGGCCGAGCGAATGGCAACGGCAACCGCGGTGCGGGAGTCCATAACAAGAGACTGACGAAAATCGACAGACATATGGTGGCCGATAACGTGACCAAAAAGAAACAAAATAAGATGCATCGCAACGATCATCGATCTGGAGGTATACATATTATACATGTATAGTAACATATTGTGTACTAAACTATATTGCTATTTTTTGCTGCGGTGGCGGCATAAACTTATATTTCTTGCAAAGCTGTTGTACTCCTAAAATTTCGCTYTTCAAATCGAACACTAAATGCTAAATAATGTGTGCAAAATATTGCATCGAAATATTCATAAAAACTAGTTTGAAATATTAATACAAATATGTACAATATACAAAAATAATAATTGGCATATGCCTAAGCATTTACGCAACATGGTACAATAATTCTGGTATATATATTGGTATAAATAGAAGACATTATATTAGAATTTATAAGAATTACATACATTTAATACATTTATAAGAATAGGCATTACCTACACAGTGTGACGACAATATRATTTTCAAATCAAATCCACGATCTTAATCGAATATTTTAGACTCTGAACGAAGTRATGAATGTATTGATTTTACAATGATGTGTGTTTTTTTTTTRTKTTTGTTTTTRTGTCTGTGTACAGCATAACTAGTCGAAATAATGCTTCAATTTCATTCAATTTGGGGGTGGTTTCCGATGTAAATGTGAATATCCTTGGTGCATTATAGAGGTCAAAAGTAAACATTTTCCAACAGTTTTCAAAAAAATCGAGAAAAACAAAAAAAAAATGACAGAAAAA